ATACCTGGCAACACTGAGGGACTGAAGGATAGCGCTATAAGAAGAACGGAAAGTTTAAAAGAGATTAACTACGTATCGACGGACCTCCAATATTTTATTCGCGGATTCTGCAACGCTTCAAACCGTTATTCACAGTTTAGTTCGCTGCTGACGAAGGGGCGTGTCCGGCGTCAAACTCGTTCTCCACCAGCTGATGAAGCGAGCAAGCGACAAGACTGCATCATATCGTACGTATCACTCAACTGCTGTCGCTTCAACAACTGGCAGAGAACGGATTTGACGCCGTGGTACACTCATCCTGCCTGACACTCCTCTTCCCAGCAGTGAACTAGAGTATATCTTTTCCCTTTCGTGGAAGCTGCTTCTCCAGTGTCGCAAAGTGTGAACGCGGTCTTGCAGCACGTGTCATGCGGTTTTTTGACCAAAAGGAGGAAAGAAACACAGTCGGTGGAAAATATTAACTTGTTGCAATTTTTGGTTTTATTAAGAGCATCTACATGAGAGGCGGAGTCCAAAAGTGAGATCGGGATAGAAATCGTAATCGTAACTCACCTCGAGATAAATGGATATTCTGAATGCTAGAAAAATGTATAAGTGGACGAGATAATCGAAGAAATCGGGAAACAAGCATCCTCTACACCGGATATAAACTACGGCTACTGCTAAAACAAAAAACCGTTCGAATGAGCAAGTGAAGTCACACAAGAAGCAAAAACAACCGCATGATAGAACGTTTCTGATAAATAGAAACTACATTCAAGAGAATGCTTCCTTTTGCGATAAGATAAACGGCATATAATGTTGTGCGGTCTACACAGCAGTCCATTTTTCAACTGTTGTCTAAATACAAGTTCGTGATCTATTCAACAGAAAGCGAGTATAGAAAAATAGGAGAACTCCCTTATAAGACCTCCATCGTCGGAGGTAGGAGCGAGCCTACCGTTTTAGTTATGGCCCGTGATACAATACTGCGATAATCCTTCATGGTGAAAATTACGCTCGAGGATGAGGGACAGCAGCTTCTACCAGCTGGAGTAAGGCGAATTCCAATCACTTATAAAGACAGCACTACCAGTACACTGTTATTAGCCCAAAAAGAGGAGAAAAAACTTTTGCTACTCAGCTAATACGGGTTACTCGATGCCTTGATTTCGAGTATGACATTCTTTTT